TATACACACACACACACACTGAACATATAATAGTGGTAGTATCATCATACTGCTCCTTCTACAACAAAGCCGTTAATCCTCTCTTTCTCACAAACTTCCAGCCCCCTCTATCTTCCAGCATGCACCGACCCTCGTTCTGCTGGGCAACAACCCATTTTCACTGAACAATACAGGGACTGTTTGGCTGCTTTGTGCGTATGTGTTTGTATGGGGGAAGGGGGGTGACACGCAGAGCGCATCATGACGGTTACAACACTTCTCCATCAGCTGCACAAGTTAACCTGCCTCATCTCTTTAGTAGAGTTATGGAACATTAAGCCAGATGAGAATCTTTCAGGCTCCCATACTAGTCCCATACCAGAGACATGGGGAGAGAAATAAGAGATGGAGCGGTGTGGATGGATTGGGGACTTTTCTCCTTGCTTAGAACATGTTGGGTGTGACAGATGTATCAGAAACGGCCCTTTTTCAAGAAATCTCACCTAGAATCTTTTATTTATTTTTAAGAATAACTTATTTACTTCTAAGCCTGAAATATGATGTGGCGATAAGACACGCTGTAAGGACACTCTTGAAATTCCTTTAGTTTAGCTGAACTTCCCACTTGTTCAGGTGTAAGTGGCTTATTGCATAATTATATTGTTAAAGCTCCGTGACAGGGATATTAACCCATAGCAACCCAGCTTCAAACTCACTACAAACATCTCAAACGGTTCATAGTTGTTATTGTGAATGAGACATGGTGATTTATACAAAAGAGTTTATTAATAACAATAAAACAGTTCTTTTACACTAAACACCTCTTTCCTTCAAAACAACAAATGGAATAATTACAACACAAGACTATTTTGTAAAACAAAGTAAATGTTTGAGCTAAGTTACATTTCCCCCTTGTGGCTCTAAGTTATAATGCAGCTGTTAAAAAAAAAAAAAAAGAAGTACAACAGATTCTGAATTTAACCTGCAGTTGTGTTGCGGACGTAACAAGTCAGATCACAAATATTAATTATTAATAATATTATAAACCTGCAGGCAGCACAGTCTTTTGATTTTTATGAGCCTTCTAGTGTCTGTTCAGTACATCTCATGTATTCAAATATCACAGACTGGCAGAGTCACATGATGTGATGGATGTTTGTGGATCAAATTGAGGCATGAACAGGTGGGTGATAATCGCAGCCGTCTTAGGAATCTTCTGGGTTTGTGCAGCTGACTGACCTGAGATGGTTGGGGGTGTGAACCAGCATTTATTGCTTTGTCAGTGTGGGTCGTTTAATCGGTTATGATGAGCTCATCACAGCCCCAGTCCTCATAACTTCCATCAGGAAGGTACCTGCGGATGATGATGGGGATCTTTCTGCTCCTGTTTGAGGGGACAATCACGGTAAGACACTGGGAAGTACAGACCGACTCTACAGCACAGGATGCTGACCTACTTACATAACGACAAACACAAACTAAAAGATGTAGCCGTGATAGAATTTCATACAGCATTGCTGATCATTCATACCATAAAATGATCACTTACTTTAGCTCTTTCATAGCTATTTGCAAGGGGTCTGTTTCTCCCTCCAGCTCCACCATGACTGGAGCGCACATCCTGTTGGAAACAGACAGACAGGTACAATAAATACTGAATTAAAGTCAATATGTAAGTGGCAGAGGCTAACTGAGTTTCATTTGAATCTAGTGGTTTTACTCAGTGTGCGAACTATACCTTTGCTTTTGGGGGGTGATTGTGTCTGCCTCAAGAGAGGACTGACTCACATTACGCCGACTACAAGACAGAGCAACGAATACTGCAACGACTCAGAGTGCAGACTGAGTGGGACTACGGATGGTTTGTTTTCCTGATATCTTAAAGTGAGTGAACTTAATGATACTGCACCGCTATGCTTCTGTGTTGCTGGCAAGAATACCATGTATGCCAGTATCTTTACTAAAGTGATTTAGATCACCCTCATGCATGAGTCATACATCAATATTGGGCTAATTGTACGTATGATTCATGATGATGAAGATACAGAGAGAAATGTATGGCAAAAATAACATAGCAGTATTTTAGAGATCCTCTCCAAGCTCCCCTGCAGCCTGGTTCTACTTGTCATCTAACAGAGGGGAACCTCGCTGTTTCTTTGTATCTTTGTCATGGTTTTTCCCAATGCACTCAAATATCACAATCATCGATCATCAGACGGGCGACAAATTAAAAGAACCCAACATTAAGTCTCTTAGTAAGGTGTTGGGCCACCATGTGCAGCCAGAACAGTATTTCTATTGGAGGGACGAACACCATTCTTCCAAAAGATATTCTCTCATTTGGGGTTTTGATGGTGGTGGAGAGCGCTGTGTAACACATCAGTACAAAATCTGCAATAAGTGTGAGGCCATAGCATATGATTCACATCATCACTGTCATACTCAAACCATTCAGTGGATCATCATAGGATAAAAGTGATCCCTCAGAACAACTTGGCATTCATTTGCAGTGACTCTTCCCTCAGAAAGGTACAAGACATACAACAGAGCCACCAGACCCCCCCACTGTAGGGGTCAAGCATTCAGGCCTGTATCATTCTCTCTTGGTGTTCGCCACACATGCACTCATCTGGCCATGTCACCCCCCCCCCACATCTCTGTAGACCAGTGCCAAAGGTTGTAAGAGAGTGTGAGTACAAGAGTGTGTAGATCTGAGTCAAAGGTCAGAGGTCAGACCTGAACCCAGGACACAGTGTGTAGGTCAACACATAAAAAACCCCACTCACGCTATCTGTAGAGCTCGTGTGCCCAGCACCCTGGCCCTCTCGTATTTAGTCATGTACGGTGTTGTGATCCTCTTCTGGTTGGCCTGCTGTCCCTCTCCTGCCGGCAGGATCTGCACGTTCTCCTGGTCCTCCTGCTCACAGGAGACAGCAACAACAGGTCTGAACGTATCAACTACAAATGGACCACAATACAAGATCACACAGCAGAGGCGGAACCAAAAGGTTAACTACTTATTAAAAGTTGCACGCAGGCTAAATGAGACTGTGGACTTACATCTTCCGCGTTTTCCAGGTCATCTAACCCCTCGTCCTCTTCGGCATCATCAAAATCTCCGTCGTCGAAGCTACAAATGTGGACATGAAGACAGTTATCACCAGGAAAACAGCTCCACAGTCACTGAGGAGTGAACAGTTAGCTCTGCCGTTAGCCCACGTTGTGCTATCGCTATAAGAGAGAGTCGGTGTGTCTTTAGTGTAACACGTTGAAGCTCAGTGTGTTACTTACTTATCTTCGTTGTCGGACATGTTTTATTTTGAAGCCCGTGTAGGTGAATCCTCAGTGTTACAATTCCGAGAGACGCTTTTTGTTGTCAACATGAACCCACATGAACGCTGAGGACGCTCCACTTCCGGTTGTTTGGTCCGTCGGGAAATATTCCGGATGCTGAAGAACAACATCGGGTTTTCGTTCCGCTTGTAACGCAGAGCAAAGTTAAAACGACCTTTTCTGGCGAATACAATAAAAGAAATACACGACTGTGACACCAGTCAAATTTCATTAGTCTGTTTTATTGTTACTTAATTTGGGTTACAAACTTAGAAAAAGAGTGACACTGACGGAGGAATGAGTAGGTAAAACTACAAAATGTTTTTGTAAGAATAGCATGACATTTCCGTGTATTACTGATGCATTTAATTCTTTACGTTTATTTAGACTATTTGTCAAAAACAAACCAGGACTCCTTGAAGAGAATTCCTCAACTTTGACTCTAAATTAAGTGCCTTTAAAAAAAAAAAAATACTCTTTCTGTACTAAACAAACTCTCTGAAGAAAAACAAGACAGGACTAGACAGGAGGCACAAATCCAGTTACAAGTTACAGCCAGGTTATTTGCAGTTCTTGCATCACTGTGTTCAGCTCTTTAAGGATTCCCATTTTCTAACTTAAAACCACAACATTAGAGCAGAAACAATAAAACTGATATTATGTATGTGAATGTTCTTACTCAGACAACTCAGGACAAGTTGGTTTTATCTGTTTTGAGTTACTTCAAATGCACCTTTTCCAGCATAGTAGATAACTACCATAAAAAAAACAATAATAAAAAATATTATTCACAATAAAAGTTGTTTAATCATATTATATACAATCCTTCTCCATAGACAAGACAAAAAACGTTGTCAAATAAATATTTATTACATACTAATACAAGTATGTAATGAAATAAAAAACATAAATACTGATTGCATATGGTAGAGAGGGCAAGTGATTAAACACAGAGGATAAAATGTGTTTGATAATGCTGAACTGCAAATGATTCATTTCTTCTATGCTACCTGAGTGCTCCTGAACATAAAATTAATAAACCATTTCATATTATGATCAATACTTTTTCCTATCTTCATCATCTCAAAGTAAAAACGAGTTTGTTGTCTGTGAGAGTTTCTGCAGTCGTGATGGTACTTCAGCTCTTTTTGTCTGTGGAGTCTTTGGTGCTCTCTGCAGCTTTATGGTTCAGCATCTTAAAAACCTTGCTTGGCTTGAACTTTCCTTTTGACTTCTTCAGCTCTTTTAGTCCTTCTTTCTGTAGCTCTGAGGAGAGATATCACAGGTACATGCAGTGAAATATGTTCAACAGTTTTTGTAAGCAAGTCTGTTTTAAAGAACTCTGCTCTTCTGCATGAGCAGAGAGGAAACATGGGCCGGAGAAGAATATGAAAGATGCTATTTCTAAGAGGGTTTTCTTACCTTTGTTCTTCATCATGGCTTCCAAAAGCATATCTTCTTCCCTTTCCCTAATCAGAAACACAAAGTTGCATTTACACTTTTCCAAATAAAAATCTATGAACATGAAAGCACCATGTGTGTGTTTTTTTTCCGTGCACCTCTGCCTGTCCTGATCCAAGCTGCTGATGATTTGGTTCCTCTGTTCGATGATGGCGACCAGCTCCTCCATCAGCTGCTTCTCTTGACCTCGATCCTCCTGACTCCAGTCGCTCTCTGAATGTGAAGACGACGGTGCGTAACATATAACAAAACAAAGCACGGCATCACATTCACCACATTCAACAAACTGCATCCAGTGAGGTTTCTGTTCTATGTGTTATTCACACAAATGATCTGACCAGAAGGCAAAATTCACAGAACCAAATAATTGTAACCTCTGGGACTAGAAATGTTGGGTCCCTGATTCAAGTTAATAGTAAATGAGATGAATATTTGTTATTTAGCTGCAAATATGATGCAAACAGTAACAACACACTTACCTGGTTTATTGAGGAGACATCTGAGCTCGTACTCCACGTCTGCCTGTCTCTCCTCCAACTTCTGCTGCTTCGCCCTGGGAAAGAACACTGGAGTTGAAAAATAATGGCACGTACAACTCATTATCAGAGCAAAATCATTGTCCTGGTCTAATCTACTTACAGATAAACCAGCTCTGTATCTCTGCGCACCAGGACATGTCTCTCATGGATAAGAGATAACCACTCCATTAGCATTTGTTCCCCCTCTTTATCTGTAATTAAATAGGATGGGCCAGAGATATAAGCATCTCTATTACACGGTTAGTAAACAATTTTGTCTAAAATCAGTAAGAACAATTTAGTGAACCATTCTTGCAGTCTCTCAGGTTCTTCTCCAGTTCGACTCCTCTTTGTTCCAGCGCCTCCAGTTGTTTCTCCAGTTCTCTCATCTCCACCTGCAGCCCTTCTGTACAAATATTCTGGTCTGTCTGCACCTGTAAAGCAACATATAACTAATTGTAATGACTGAACCTTGTGATGAGGGCTAAATTATCTATCTTATCTCATCTTAAAATAATCACTGTGTTTGAAACTCAGTCAACTCAATTAATAATGTATCTAATCCTTCTACCAAGCTTAAAGACAAACCTAAAAGTTGTTCAGATTTTTACTTTTTGGGGCAGAAATGTGCATTTAGAACAATAAACACATCAATTACTATAAACATTTATTTATTCTATTGTTAGTTACAGCTGTGCATGTATGATTGGTGGACTACGGCAACAGCTGTGCATTAAGACACTGAAGCTCCTTCTCGTTTTTGTTTTTCTCTGTTTTTGGCTCATTGGTGAAACAGACAGAAATGGTTTACATTCATCGTGATCAGGCTGGACAAATAACGGGAAACAAGAGCCTGTTTTGCCTACATCTTTACAGAGACCTGCTCCATCAACATCCAGGATTAACACTCGACTGGTTGGTTGTGTTCAGAGCTGACTCACTGTTTCCATCAATGATGCTTGATACTAAAATGCAGTCAAAGTGGATGGGCCCTGTTTCTTTTTATGTGAAGATGAAACTATTATTATCATCACTATGTTGTTGTTGCTGTCTACATTCAACCAGATGCAAATTCAAAAGATGCTCAGTAGAATTATTTCCTGGGTGTATACGTGTTTGTATATATGTGTAAATATATATTTTCTTATTTTATTTCATTTTATTTTCTATGTTTTTCATTGAATTTAATTATCTTTTTCTATGCGTGTAGAACTGTAAACTCTCATTTTGTTATTCAACCTTGTGTTGTATAATCATAAGACACATTTCTTTAATTCCTTATGAGTTCTACATCCAGCCACTGTACCTTCCTCTTGATGAGTGGGAAGCCATGTCCAGGGGCCTGGGCCCGTTGCGATTGGAGGGACTGAAAAGTTTTTGATCTGGGAATTCCAGGTTTTCGATCAAAAGGATTTTCTTTGCAGGCCAGCTTAAAAAGGAAAGAATATGAAAAATACGTAAGGCAGTTTATACTTTATATGAATGAGACTGATGTGAAACCTGCTGAACCTGATGTGCAGTGTATGTTTACAGAGCAAGAGCGTTCCAGAAAAACAGTCTGTGACTGCAGAAGTAAACATCATATTATATTTCATTATTAACAGTAAGCCATTATATTTTTTCATACCTTACTTTGACGTGACGTGTCTGGATCACATTCATTAGCCTCTGTCATGTCATCAGGCAAAAAGGAACTCTGACAGGAAGCAGATGTGATAGCTGGCACAGAGAGACTCCTGGGTAAAATGTGACTCTGTGCTGTCACATCTTGTAGCGAACCTCCTGTGTTTCCACTTTCATCCAAATCTGCTATACCAATTTGACTACTAACTGCTTCACTGGAAGCGCCCGCTGTGTTAGTAGCTCCGCTCAGACTGACACAATGCCCTGAAGGCTCAGTTGGGTCTGACAGCTCAGGTTTACTGCCCTCTTCCTGGGTATCCTCATCCACATCCTCTCCAAATGGATTGGGAGCAGGCACTTTGGGTCTGTACCATGACCTCTGCAGGTTAGAGACAGATTTGGATCGAGGAGTGGGTACTGGAGCTGGAGCGGGAGGCAGCTGTGTCCAGGGTCCAGGGTGGACGATGGCCAGCCAGGGATGGTTGGTGGTCACTTTCGGGCTACCACGGGTTGGGCTGGTCCTATGAACAGAACAACAAGAGGTGCTCTGAGAATCCACAAGTGAAGAGGTCTGGGGAAAAGAGTTATTATTTCCTATATTATTATTATTATTATTATTACACTATGAAACTCCTTACAGCTCCAGCTCCTTTTTAAATCTACAAAATGCATTGCTAACTTTTTATTATTGTTTTTAATGCTGACTAACTTGCTGCTAACTTGTCCCATGTCCATTGCCCAGTTTCTGCATTGTCAGCTTTGTCTGGCTTGGGTATGTATGACATATTTACTAGTGCTTTATCAACAATGTGGTTGTGTGAGCTTCTGTTTCTATATGGTCTTACTGCATGGCTTACATGTGATCTATGATGTCACCATTTTACTAACTTATAACTACATCTTTTAATATTTATATCAAGCTCAGAATTATGACATATGATATTTTATTAATGTTATTGCTGCTCTGCATGTGTCACGAAGAGGTTATAATCAGTATTGCTGGCTGTGTTTTGTTTGCTTGGCTACTTGTGTAGCTGCATTACTGTACTAGCTGCTTCCTGTTGCCCTGCAAGGCTGGTTCTTGAGAATGCTTATTTTATTGCTGTTGCTGTCTTCTGTCTGTAAATTTAAACCATCACCTCATTGCTGTTAAAAACACCTCGCCCAAGGACTGCAAATGAAAATTAGCCAGCTGGCTAACACTTCCAGAAATTGATTAATGTACGTTGTCCTTTGTAATAAAATAAATTTATGAAATTATAGTAAATGATGCTCCATTTCATAAAGCTCCTTTAATGTGACATTTGAGATTCTGCCAGCATTTCGATTTTAAGTTGTATTTTGATTTTTGGTCATTCTGTATCTGGAATATAGTAAAATGTTCATAAACTCTTTCTTATTATTGTCAATATATATAACAGATGTGTAGCTGTAAGTTAAGAGTGAGTCAAAGAAAAAAGATTGAACCACAACCTGTTCAAGAGAAATACAGGACAGCGTTTAAGGTTTGTGCCAAAGACTCTTTCTCTACACTTACACATGAGATGAACTGGGTGAACATTTGGTTTGGTTGGCTGAATTGTCTGCGCGGAGAAAGAGAGAGAGAAAGAAATGGCTTCACAAATCTCCTTCATCATCAACATACAGACGAATAAATAAAAACAGCAAAACAATATAGTGCCTGTTTACCTGCAGCGGGGGAGCTGTTCATTGTCTGGGAGGTTTTAGTCCTGGGTGCAGGAACGGGGACTACAGAGGAGTCTGACGTTCTCCTGGGTGCTGGAACTGGCCGACTAATTCTTTCTGTCACTCCTGCAGAAGATGAAGAGAGCTCAGAGGGCTCTTGAGTCGTTCCCTGCTGTATCTTGCAGTCTGCCAGAACGGGTGGAGTTCCAGCTTTTCCAGCTCCTTCGACGGTGCTGTCTATATCACCGGGTGGGGGAAGATTAGGAGGCGCTGGCTTTTTTACAACACTCCTCAGTCCAACAGTGTAGTCTCCGTTTTGTCGGTCTTTCACCTCTCTGCTCCTCTCCTGCCTTTCTTTCCCCTCTGTCTGTGCTGTTTTAATAACCAATCTGCCCTGTGACTCTGTTTTCTTAGTGTAATGAGGAACGCTGGTGATAGCTGATCCCCCCAGAGAAAAATAACCTGTCTGAAACGTACATTTGGGCCGATTCTCGGTAGATCCGGTTCGCTGATTGAGGGAAACAAAAGTACTTTTACTGTCTGTTTTATGGTGAGTGCAAATCAAGGAGCCAGCCTCACTTCCCCTTGAGTAAGACCCTGGTAAGAGACTACTGTGGCACACTCTGCACCTGAAAGACAAGCAAGAGATGTGTTGCTGTAAAAACATCCTTAACACATAAAAAAAGAAAAAGCTAAGCCCATAACTGACCTGCACTGATATCTGAAACTTAAAACAGTTTTTTTCTTGAGCTAATGGCCGTGCGCAGATACAGATTTCTTCAGCTATAACCATATAATCACACGAGTTATCAGACGATCACAGTGGTCACTTGAAACACATTTGATACGCATTCTTCTGTTTGAACTGCAGTCCGTCTCAACCAGATCTACACACAGACTGGATAAATAAAGAAGCAACAGTAAAAAAGCAGCCGTTACCTTGTGAACGGCGCTGTTACCTGAAACAGCTGCGATGGTAGACCTTTCCGTCAATCCAGTGTCTCTGGATGAGGTGCACAGGCTTAAAACACAAACTACACACCGTCCGGGGCCCTTTGTTGGATAAACGTTCGTCTCCACTTGTTTCGAGATCAGTCGAGCTCTGAAAGAGAAGAGAAACCAGCGACTCAGACTAAGAACAGCCGTGTTCACATGGGGAGTGTGTGTGCATTGAAATGACTGTGAGCAATTACCTTCCAGGGTTTCAGACCATCAGGAGCTTTACTCTTGTTTAAGACAGTAACATGGGATGAACTCAAACTGGCAAGACCTGCTGCAAAGTCAAGAGAAGATATGCAAAAAAATGTTTGGCAAACAAAAAGGAGGTGTGTCTAAAGATTTCATTCACATGATGTGAAGAGTAAAGTAGCCCAAAATACTGGTAATAAAGTATGGCCAAGTGCAATATCCAAGTCGCAGAAGCTGCAATTTTTTGATGAAGGTAAAATGTGTGATTTTAATCATTATAATGAAGTTCTGTAGTGCTGCACAGATGCCCTGGCTTACAAATCTTGTTCTCCAGATGTAAGAAAACAAGTTTGTTTGGTACAGACTCCAACAAATGTTTTTCAGTGAAAATGTAATTTGTCATGTAAAAATGACCATTTCCATACTGATTGTGAATCACAGTTAACCATAGCGTGCAGCCCTAATAATAAAGCAGACAAAGAAGAAAGGCGCCACTTCCACCACAGACATAACCCTGTGAACCTGTTATAGTGTCCTTCATTAATCATGTACCTTGACAAAGTGCCTTCGAGCAAGACAATAAACCTCTGCTTGCTGATTTGCTGCAGGTAACTATGTTATCTAGCTATTACACAGAAAAGACAGATTCTGCACAACACACCATAAGACTTCCTGCTGAAGAAGGAGTAGTACTGAGCGAGGTAGGTGATGACACTCAAACAATCAGGCGCCTTGGTGCAAACCATGTCGTTTGGGTCCAGCAGTGCAGGGATGCCCAGCTTCGTCTCTGCAATCTCAAAAGCCTGCAGACCAGAGAATTAAAAGGCGGACTACCGTAAAAAAAGGAGTTGCATTATTAGACACGTTTTTTTGTTTTGTTCACAGTCTTTCGTGTTAGTAATAGTAAACAAAACCCAGAGTTGAGACAGACAGGCTTGCATTGTGGTTTGTGTGCAAACATAGGAGGAAATGACTCACCAGTTTGTTATTTTGATAAACATTATCTTTGGAGAGGGAGCTGAAATCTCTGGAGCAAGGTGAGGAAAATTGAGAGATTGATTAACTGATGATGAAAAGACAAACAAAACAAACAAACAAACAAACAAACAGAACAGTTGCTTATTGTTGAACGGTGGTTAACCAGAGACTCCCATAGACACAAAGCACTGCACCAGCAAAGTGCAGCCCAAGATCAGAGATTAGCTGAGATGATTGCGGTTCAATCGCTGTATGTACGAGGTAAAGACAAACAAACTAATAATCCCATTAAAGTGGACAAGAAAAGGTTGAGCAGAGAGATGAAGAGAGATTAAGCAAAGGAGAGCAGATTAGTGTTAGACACAGTGTGCAGGTCCTCCTCTGCTCCAGATTACACAGCACGTTAGTCAGTCTGGAGCAGCCCCCAGTCAAAGAGACTCACTTTAAATGTGAGGACAGGACCCCAGAAACAGACAATGTGTTTATAACTGTTAGAAATGTCCCAGTCAGGCACCTGTAGATCAGTCCACTAAGGGAATAATGCACCTCACTGGCCGAGCATGACTCTGCACAGCCTCTATGAAACTACTGGTCTACTTACATCAGGTCGGGCCGGTGCTTGTGGATGAGGGCACAAAAGGCAAGTCCATCTCTGAATGAGGTTGACATGTTCTTTATGTCCACGTTGGGGTAACAGGAGCACGCGACGCGGCACCACTCCAGCAAATCCTTCAGTGATGCCATTTCTTGTGTGAGATTTGACACGTGGGCAGGGTGAACATGATCTCCTCTCACTTTATGAGTCAGAGGAGATCAGATAGAGCTGGGCAGGTTGGGTGCTGAGGAGGAAACAGGAAGCGAGCATCTACTGGCCCTGCAACTACCTTACTTTCTTGTTCTGCAGAAAACCTGCGGCCACAAACTCTGTGCAACGGCTTGGTGCAGCAGCAGCGGCAGGAAGGAAGTTATTTGTTCCCCCTGTTGTGTTTCTTTGTGGAGTAAAAGCGAAGCTGTCTGCGCATGTAAAGAGATTTCACATGATCTAGTGTCTGCAGTCTCAACTTGAGTCTGGAACGCTTTTTCTGTCACTTACGGCGACACAATGTCACTTTGCACCACAAACCACCGACGAGCTTCCGGCGAGCAGTCGTCCAAACAGCCGCAGGGCTCCGATCAGTCGTGGTCGATGTGATAGAAGTGGTGTAAATTTAAATCAAATCCCGTTAGTTGCCCGTGGTCCTCCTTGTTGTGCTCCACATTCAGTGAAGTGCACAATAGCTGCCGCTGGAGGGAGACACAGAGCCGCTGCTTCTCTATAATTAGGAAAGGAAGGTCTCTGGTTACAGGTTTATTTCTCGGAAGCAGACTTGACATACTTTTTCTCTCTACGACAGTCAAATACAGTGTATTATTTTTTTTAATATATCAAACTTGATGTTAAAACAGGTAATTGACGCATTAAAGTGAATGGACAGATCTCCTGGTGTAAACAAATATGTCTTTTTTTATGTTGTTTATTCAGTTTCAGGCGATAATATTATGTTGTAGTCTGTAAGTCTGGACAACACATCCACTTGTTTTTTCCGGAAGGTTTTGTTAGTCGCCCGTAAAGTAAGACATTATTTTAAAACGTACTAAAAGTAAAATAAAACTACATCAGCTTTAACTTTCAGCAAACATAACACAACAACAAGGAGATGAAATACGACCTGTTTTGTAATAAAACTGTCACAGAAAGTGTCCTTTGTCTCAAATATTATCCCTCATATAACATAGATATAAGAGGCCACGCCAGCCTGATGCTCTGCTTTGATTTTGAAGGAATTTTACTTCCGATCTGTCTCTGCGATCATAGACATCGATGAACCAGAATGGTTATCCCCATTCAGAGTTCACATTATAATGTCAGTTGTGGCTAAAATGCTAAAATATTTGGTGATGTTTTCATTGACATTAGCGTTGACATAATAAACTCAACCAAATAACAAAGTCCGACATTAGCAACTGTGTTTTAGACGTTACTATAAAAACTAAATGTGTATATTATTATCCTGTATTGTTCACCAGTAAGTGATTTAATCATTTTAATGAACATATGCATGTTAACCCGTACAATAAGCCAGTGTTCGTACTGTCTATAAGATGATTTATTATTATTATTTAGTCTTTCTATGCGCTCGAGCTCTGCGTCTACGTGTCTCTCGCGAGATCGACGCGCCTCATAAATCTCGCAGTGATGGCTGCGCCGCCCGACGCGGAGAGTTTGGAGTCTCGTATCAGTGAGTATTTTAAACTTATTCTACCGGGCCGGTGTGCTGTGGAGCCCCGGACACTCTCCGGTTATGAACCGGGAGTCGGTGTGGATGAGATGACAGCTCGCCACAGCAGCGCGTGTCCCCGGCAGAGGGGTCTCGAGCTGCCGTCACATCCAGGATGCTAACCCGAGCTAGCTCCGGAGCTGCTCTGGTCGCCAGCTGTCAACACACACAACACAGCCTGGCGTTAGCGTTAGCTTCACGACACCGTAGCTCAACTAGGACACGTTAGGAACACGGCCCCCCTGTTTTTACTCACAGAGGTTACACTATAACTGTGTCTCGTTAGAAACTTCTAGACGAGACAGTGACACAGTGCGACTACCGAGAGGAGCTCTGTTAGCACCTGTGTGTGTGTGGCAGTATAGTATTATGTGCCACTGACTTCATGAATTTTAATCATGGAGTCACTTCAGGCTTTCCTGGTGCTTAGTTACAGTTTTGTGTGAGGAAAACGCAGACATATTCCACTCACCGTCTCTGTAGTGGGAAGATATTTTGGTTATGAATAGTAGTGCTTTCACTTAATTGTATTATAAAAGCAAACTGAAACAACATACAGTTGCCAGTGTATGAGCAACTCGTAGCTAAAATAATTCAAACAGAGAAAAGACTAGTGATGTAAAACTTGTTCAATACGGTTATAACGTTTGTGCTGAAACGGATTAATGTGTTCATTAAACTTTAGGGTCATTATGGAGGCTGCAGCTTGTGGTCCATGTAGTTGCGTTGTAGTCAGAGCAGAGGTGTTTCTATCATTTTTCTACCTTCATTAGTTGTAGATAGGTAGAAACACTAACTGGACATGTGTGGAAATGGCATACATGTATAAATGTGCTGTTTTTTAATGTATCTTTTATAATTATCTTCTGTATGTATGCATTTGAGGCTATGTACAGATTGTAGCAACACATTAACTGAAAAGGATAATAAATCTGTCTATTAAATCAATTAATGAAGATAAATAAGGTTATAGTGATGTTACGTAATCAGTAACCTGTGCTATCCTATTGCACAGTATTACTGTAATCAAAACTTCAGACCTACATATTGTAATGTCAGATCAGCAGGAATGATATAATGCAGTGAAATTGAAATAACATCTGTCACCTCTGTTGCTAACATTTCAGACAGAGCCACAAACCCACTCAACAGAGACACAGACTGGAGCAGCATCCATGCCTTCTGTGACCAGCTCAACGATGATTTGGAGGGGTAAGAGGACATCCTATCTTAATTATGGTCTGGTTGATGTGGCCCTCGCTGTGGTTATCTTTTCTCCCAAATAAGGGCAGTTTTCCTTGCTCACTTTGAAATCAATGAAATCACGTTTGGATTTAAATTACCTCATGTATTAAATTCACTACCTACATTTTACAACTGGAGACTGACTGGAGTGCTGAACACACTCCTGTACACGTGGCCTGTAAAGCTCTTACATGTCATTAAACATTTTGACAGTTTTCTCAAATTTTATAACAATTCTCATTTATTTTAGAAATCATTATGGGATTAAGGTGACGTCAGTGTTCATTTAACATTAACCCAACAAAATACTTTAATAACCCCACAATATGATTACGGTAGAAACATGTAATAATAAATCTTGATATCTTGCTCACCAGTACTTAACCACACTTGCATTTGCTCATTTGCTGCTGCGTGCAGTGCTGTAGACATTCAGTTTTGTTTGTGACTTGTGTTTCAGACCTCAGCTGGCCACCAGGCTCCTGGCCCACAAGATCCAGTCTCCACAGGAGTGGGAGGCCATGCAGGCCCTGCTGGTGCGTTCTGCTGTTAGCTGCCTCAGTCCTGTTTAACCCGGTTTTTAGTGAATTATTTCTGTGTCTCAACAGTATTTTCTACTTTTCTAATTGTAGGGGATATATACATTTGTTAACATGTATACATTTTCTGATTTATAGATGGTTTACTGCTTTAGGATTTTCTTGTTTTTGGGCTTCAAAAAACCCATATGCATCCAACCTTAAATCAGAATTATTTCGTAGATGCTGTTGAGTGTATTCTCAGGAATATTCAGTAATGTAACAGATATAAACTGTCCTAACTAACCTAAAATCAACTTGAAAGTTTGTCTACATTTGTATTAAATATCTTTTTAAAGCATGGTGTTGCTGTTTTCAGATGTGTTTTATTTCTTGAATTCTTTTTCTCTTCTAGGTTCTGGAGACGTGTATGAAGAACTGTGGGAAAAGGTTTCACAGTGAGGTGGGCAAGTTCCGTTTCCTCAATGAACTCATCAAAGTAGTTTCTCCAAAGGTAAGACTCTCAGAGGGCATCTATGTTTCATATACTTTTTAATTTTTACATTTTTTAAACACAGATTTTCTGTGTATATAACTGTTATATGCACACAAAAGCTGTGTTTTAAAAAAAACATGGTTATATTATAACATGGTTTTTGTGCTTGATTTCAGTACCTGGGCTCACGGTCACCAGAGCCAGTAAAAAAGAAGGTTTTGGAGTTGATCTATAGCTGGACTTTGGGGTTACCTGATGAGGCCAAGATCTCAGACGCCTATCAGATGCTGAAGAAACAAGGTGAGAGGCTGTCTGCTATCAGCTGAATGGAAATTATAACTTAAAACCAAAGTAGTTAGAAGGCACTGAAGGGTGCAGCCCAAGTCAGTTTTTAAGATTATAAGTAATGAGCGCTAAAGCAGGTAATAACTGCAGTGATGAGTAATATAGTAACTCATGTTCTGTGTTTGTAAATAAGGTATTATTAAACAAGACCCAGAGCTGCCCCCTGACAAACTACTGAACCTTCCTCCACCCAGACCCAAGAATGCTATTTTTGAGGATGAGGAGAAGTCAAAAGTAAGGAATTGTCTGTTTTAAAAGAAAATAATCACCGTTGTTCATTTCTGTGCATGCTCATGATTGTCCTCGTCTCCCTTTAGGAATTACTTATTCACCCTGTTCATTTTCACACATGTAAACTGACTGTCTGTCTGCTTTGTCAGATGTTGTCTCGCCTGTTGAATAGCTCGCACCCCGAGGACCTCAAAGCCGCCAACAAACTCATCAAGGAAATGGTCCAAGAGGTAAACCGCTTTCCTTCTCCTTCCTCCTCCTTTTATAAATTGCACCTTTCTGTTATACATGAACTGCACCACCACTTTTCAGGGCTGTAGATTTAGTAAAGAAAAGGGAATTAAATGCCAGAGTGCTGCACCCATGACAGGAACATTAACTGAATGAGGAAATGGGTTGTTTGCCCTGGGGGGTGTTGTGTGTCACTGGCAGAGTAAATTTGTCCTGATTTCACAGGTAATAGGAGCTGCTCTTTTCTTTGATCCTCAGACTTTTCTAATGGCCTCTTCCTGACCTTGCTGTATATACGCATGTTTTTGTGTTACTCTTGTTTTTTTTAAAAATGTATTTATTTGAAGTTATACAAAATGAAATAAATCCCACATACAGCTGGATAAACACAATTCACTCTAAGTTCGTGCTCCAAAAGAGCACCATCTCTATTACAGTATTATTATTATTATTAGTAGTAGTAGTAGTAGTAGTAGTAGTATGGTCGGAGGAAGAGAGCCAGGAATAAACGATTCTTCAAATACAAAATAGAGGTTTTTGGTTGGTGCGTTTTTGTATTTCTGCAGATTGTTTCATGTATGATCATTTCATACCTGTGCATGCGTTTGTGTTCACACCGTGTTATGTGTGCTGTTTGTGAATTTGTCTTTTTTGTTGTTGTTCTAGGATCAGAAGCGAGCAGAGAAGGTGTCAAAACGAGTGAACGCCATTCAGGAGGTGAAGGAAAGCGTCAGTCTGCTCACTCAGCTTCTGCAGGACTATGACAGCACCGCCAGCAATCAGAGCAACGCTGAACTCATACAGGTGAACTGAAAGTCACTTCAAAGAGTTCAGAGTTATTATAACGTAGTGGTAAACCAGACAGAAACTTGAGTTCAAGTATTTAATATAGTGTGTTTTGTGTGGTCAGGACCTGTACCAGCGCTGTGAGAAAATGAGACCGACACTGTTCAGACTGGCAAGTGATACAGAGGACAACGACGAGGCTCTGGGTGAGTGCTATTTTTATTTATCTGGCATTAAATATCACGGAAATCAATAAAGAAGGAATGATCCCTCCTTTGTTTTTAGCTCTAGTAGCCCTCATCCGGACAAAAAAGACAATCCCACAAAGTTAATTTGTTGCATCATTTAACCATTCAGGTGTTTTTCCTTTTTCTGTCGTGGAGGCCTCCAACAGGACACTGAACTCTGGCTTTCAGTGTTGCGCTTGAAAGAGAGCACCAGAGACACACCCAAAGTATAAATATAGAGAACCTAGGAGTTAATTGAAAGCTGATGCCAATCCGTGTTAAATCACACAGCATACTGCTCATCACGTACAAATGAATGTCTTTAATGTCTTTGTTTGGCAGAAATCTTCAGTATACAGCCATTCAGTGCTGCATTTTCATCTGTATGAGGAAATTGTTTTGCGTTTCTGGAGCAGTTCCTACACTAGACTTCATAATTGGGGAGGGTTTACTTTTACTTCTCCCCTCAAGCCCACAGGCCTCAGTCTCTAGTATCCCTTTCTAACTAAACCCTAAACTGGTTCTCACACCAAACCTCAAATACTTGTTGTCCCTTCACTTCAGCTGGAAAGATGCTTCCTGACACATTTTTTTTTGTTTACAAACGGTCTTTCTAAGCTCTAGTCCACATCAGTTCTGACGGATATCAGCACAGTGGAAACAACAAGGAGCATTTCTTTATGTCTTTCCACAGCGGAGATCCTGCAGGCCAACGACAGCCTGACTCACGTCATCAACCTGTACAAACAGCAGGTGAAGGGGGAGATTGTAAACGGCAACAACACATTGAACACACAGAAACAAACAGGTGGGTGAAGCTTTCATGCCGACATTCACAAACAGTGTTTAATAGAATACTTCAGGTCTAGCTTTTAGTTTCTGTCGGAGGCAGTTTGAATTGAAGTAGCTTGAATCCATTTCCCACAGGAGGAGGGACGGCACTGCTAGACCTGTCAGGATTGGACACATCACCACAGTCGCCTCCGTCCTTCCCAGAGTTTCCCACTCCGACAGACAGCCTCAACGCCCCCTCGCAAGAGATGGGAATCAGTCTCCTTGACGACGAGCTCATGTCACTTGGTAACAGCATGTCCGACCCCTCACACCCCACAAGTTTTATGCAGGATACTGATTGTTGTTGAGATATAGACACTCACTTTATTCCTGAATATAACAGCCACTCTGTGTGTGTGTGTGTGTGTCTCAGGTTTAAGTGAAGGAACACACACCTCCAACCCTCCCTCGCAGCCTGAGGACTCCACAGCCTGGGACTCCTTCCAGGTGAGCATTATTAGAACTGTTATGGTCAAGTGTCACTGAGACACTCAGCCATTAGTGTTCTTAGTACCAATACGCTTGTACCACTACTTTTCTCACACACTCTCACTGTCTACCTCCAGTCCTCTGACAGCATAGACGCAGACATCCCAGCAGCACCCAGCCGCCTCCTGAGTCCAGACCCACCCTCCCACTCTCAGCCCCTTTCGTCTGGCTCCACCCCTGGGAACTCTGCTCTGGACGAGCTGGACCTGCTGGGAAAGACGCTGCTGCAGCAGTCCCTGCCTCCAGAGGGCCTGCAGGTCAAATGGTATTTAACAAACACTGTTCTAACTCTGTCACATGACCATTAAAACTGTGGGGAACGGCCTCAAGGTAGCCCATTATATAGATAGATCATACTTTGTCTGCTTGTGTCAATCTGCGCTGTAAAGGAAGAATCGAGCATCCTGTGAAAAGGGCACCGAGATGAATTGTTATATGTTCTGCTTTTAGGGACAGACAACAGTCCAAACCGACTCTTAGAGATCTCCAGAGCAAGTCTGGGTCCAACGTTGCCCCGAACCCCATCCCAGCCTTCTCCGCCGAACCTCCTGCACCTCTCCCCAACTGTCAGCCGAGCCCTGGAGCGACGTTGCTGGACATGTCCCCGACTCACACTGAGACTCCTCCTGCAGAAGTCACCCTGACAGATGTTTTTGTACCGCTAGAATCCATTAAGCCCAGTAAGTTGTTGTAACTTGATGGCTTTATGCTTCGGCCCTCCTGGGAGTACAGATTTATGCCATGCTCTCCTCCTCTCCCTCCATCATTCTGTCCTTTCCCTTTCCAGGTAGTCTGTTACCGGTGACTGTGTTTGACGGACACAGCCTGCGGGTTCTCTTTCACTTTGCCCGCGACTCGCCTCCGGCTCGTCCTGATGTGCTGGTGGTGATCATTTCCATGCTGTCGTCGGCTCCTGCCCCCGTCACCAACATCAACTTCCAGACCACGGCTCCAAAGGTCAGCAGTGAGAAAGTTCAAGGCCTGAGTTCCTCCGTTAGAGCACGAATAGGGCTGTACATCCCAGCAAGGTTCCTCTTTTAAAGACATTGTTACAAAACCACTGCAGCCAATTTACTGTCTCTGTTGTTTGTTTACCAACTGTAGTCTATGGCAGTGAAGCTGCAGCCCCCATCAGGAACCGAGCTCCCAGCTTTCAACCCCATCCTTCCTCCTGCTGCTGTCACACAGATCCTTCTGCTGGCAAACCCAAAAAAGGTAAGCCAAGATCTAGACAGGGGCAGGTAACACTGGAGAAACCAACCGGAGATGGCTAGATTTGGATTTAGTCTGAATTATATGATTGGTCTATGACTGCTACAGCTGCTCGATTTTCTTCTTTTTTTCCCCCAGAGCATTTGATTTATTGATTTGTCAGGATGTAACGTGAATTTCAACAAACACAGCAAGAAATGCTTCTGAAAGAAGAAACCATTAAGTGACCTTTTGTCTCTGAACCTCCACTTGACTTAAACGGCTCTAGCAGGACAGTCTCACTTTGGTTTTGTCAAGTGTCTGTTTTAATGTTCTTTAAACACGTAAGTGCTTTAATAGCAGTGCTGTATTAAACGACACTTGGCTGACATCCACAGCAAGAAATGGAAAGAAAAGAAAAATGTAGCACTCTCCAAACTTAGCTGACCGTCACTTCGCTGTCTTCTTTGCAGGCTGTGACAGTATTTCAAGCTACAGCTAGATTTGACCCCAAATGACAAAACTAAGCAGAAGTAATCAAATTACATACTACTTAGAATTACAAAACAATCTCACTGAGTAGTCTTTCTGACTTCAGCTAAGACATTCTGGATGTTAACTATATATATATATCCCACCCTGTGTTTGTGCTTCAGGAGAAGGTACAGCTGCAGTACACATTAACCTTCACCATGGGCGAGGAGGAGCACAGTGAGAGCGGCGGTATAGAACAGTTTCCTCCTCCGGACACGTGGGGGAACCTATAGCATTGAAACACAACTGCAACCTGACAGACTCTCTGCTCTCAGACTCGGCTTCCTTCCGAAATCAACTCTCCAACTCAGCGCTCTGCATACGCCCGTTTTCCTTTTGTAATCACACTGTACTTTCTTTGATTGGTATTGATTGTTTTCCATAGATTATGCTCATGCTCAGTCAGTGTAACGTGTGTATGCTTGGCTTTAAATGAGTCATGTGTGTTTAGGTCTAGTCTGCTGTATGTGGCTGCTTTAAAACAAACCTGCAGCTGCTTCCCGAAGCTGTTGCAGTCTTGTCATCTTGTTTTTAACAGACAGTGCTACGAAGGAAGAAAACTAAATCAAATGTGTGCATATTTTTCTTATTTGCTGTGCTTGACTCTTTCCTCCTTTTTTTTCCTCACCTAAGGCACAGTCAGTTTAAATCCATTATCGGTTTACCTCCTCCTCTGCATGCTCTGCCAACATGAGACACAATGCTTGCAAAATCTAGCACACCAGTAGAGAAAGGACAGGCATTACATAGACGCAGCTCATCTTAGTTTGCAAACAAAGCTATCCTTAATCAACTTCATGTGGTGTCTAGTTTGTGATGAGTGAATGTCATTTCTTTCGCAGTCCACTTTTTAATTTGCACAGAATAATTTTTTTTATAGTACTATGTTCCTGTCTTTCTCCCATCTTGTGTAAAGAACAAAATTTACTGTAACATCAGAGTTCTGTATCTGCCATATGTGCCTATTTTGCAGTTATAACATTTAAATTTCAGTGGATGGATTTGTTTTTGTCATCTGTTACGTCAGTCATATTAGGTCTGAGTTTGAGATACAGATCATAACCTCCAACTCTTAATATATTCAAAGCATTTTCAGTAGGCTTTAAGTTCCATTTGGAATAATCTTGTGTTTAGCTTGTGTTTTAAGTTAACATTTCCGCGTTTATTGGGTAGAACTGAACATTAGAAACTTGAGCACATGCAAACGGAGATGCACCCAGGTGCTCTGAGCAGTGTCTGTCTCAAACACGTTCAACTCGTTTCTACAGTCTGCAATGCATGTCGGCCATGCTGAACACCCCCTCCCCCCCACAGGCTCTCAATCACATTCCACTGCACTAATCTCCAATACGACTGCTTTGTAAATACCAATGATGGCAGTTATGTACATTTGACTTGTGCAATGTGCAAGAGCATAACACTGGTAAAATATTCTAATGGGTAATAAAGGTTTTTTTTTTCTTGGTGACCTGAAGGCACGTTGTTTTGTGTTGCAGATAACTGATTTTCTACTCCAACCACATGAAAACACAATACCTAAAGCTGCTATCCACCTCCACAGTATTAGTGGTAATGATTTAAACAGTCCACAGTGATACATTGAAGAGCTTTATTAAACAAACTGTAAAAAGAGACTTATTTGCAAGGAAATTCTCAATCATCACTGCTGATTAACTGAATACGGCAATCTATGGTCGGTCACAGATTTGTCAGTAAACACGAACGTGAAAGAAAAGTTCATTTACATGCATGTGACTTTAACTGCCGCCATAGCAACACAAAGCCCTTGCAGAGTTGGGTCTATAAGGCCTAAACTAATATCTATAATGAAATTAAGATACATTTTAAAGAAAATGTTAAAGAAGAAGAAAATATCTTTTATAGAAAAACTTTCTAACCATAATTTTGCTCAAGATACACAGCCAACAGTTTAAGTAAAATTAAATGTAACTTTTGGCTTTCAAACACAAAAATAAAGATATTGAACCTAAAACAGAAACACACTTATATATATTTACACAAGAATTAATGTCAGCACCTACCTTTAACACACCTAAAGGGAAAAGCAGATACTCTATAAATCCTCTGTAGCAGCTCAGAGGATCACAATACAAAACCAGCACATTTGTACAAAAAGATTTTTTTTTCCCCCAAGACAATGGTGACAAACTTGGTCAAATGACAGACAAGTTTCTGTCAAACTAAATAATAAATGCTGATTCATTTGACTTAAAGAAAAAGTCAGACAAAAAGGGTTGCCCACTTACTAACCAAACTGGGAACCAGGCTAAATATTTTGATGTCTTGATCTTAAAGAAAGAAGACATTTTAAAAGCACAGTGCACTGATGTGTTGCAGCCAGAACAACCTGGTAACTGGCATGTTGATGTTACCACTACCAAAGGACTTAACCCTTGCAGAACCAAGATTTCTCACTGATTTTCAGACGGTGTACAGTATGTGTTGTGCTGTGTGTGACTGATAACTACATCACATTACTTTCTGCCTGAAGGAGAAGCAAACTGGAATGGCGAGTGCCCCATCAGGCCTATCATGGGCTGGGGAGGGTTGAACTGCTGAGCCATCAGGGGCTGGGGGGCCGATGAAGCGGGCGCGGTCTGCCCCACTCCGCCACCCCCCGACCCGGAGCTGGCCCTGGAGCTGCTGCCGTTGTTATTCTGGTACTGGTCGTATGAGTTGGAGCTGGAGCCGTAGCTGCGTCCTCCGTCCCTGCTGCTGCGGTCTCTGTAAGAGGAGGAAGATGAGGTGGAGCGGTCGCCGTCCCGGCTGCTTCCTCCGCGGCTGTCTCTGCTGTCGCGACCATAGCTGCTGCTGCTGCTGCGGCTGTCCTTGGTGCCGCTGCCCCCGCCCACGGAACGCATTCGCCTGTCACACTCGTCCTGGTACATCAGGTTGGGATTGTTAGAACTGGAGTTCCCGCGGAAACGGGGACGGCCACCTGGAAATAAAGGACAGAGGAGGAGGAATTGCCATCGGACTGTGTTGGCTCATCAGACTAACAACTGTTTGGTAATGGGATAAAGCACTAACACCTCTCAAACACGGTCAGGTGTTAGCGATTTATCCCATCTTTCACAATGCAGTCAAATAGTCACCTCCTCCGCCTCCTCCTCCTCCACGTCCATTATCAACAAGCTGCAGTAGCTTGGGATTGATGGCCTGCCGGGCCTCCTCCAGGACCCGGATCAGCTCGCGGGCCTGGCGGATGTTCCCCGGAGTGAAGAAGGTGTAGGCAGTGCCTTTGTTGGTGCTGCGGGCAGTACGGCCGATACGGTGGATGTAGTCCTCCGATGAGTTGGGATAGTCGTAATTGATGACGAACTTGACATCCTCCACATCTTCATATTTGAGGCGGTAGCGGGGTCGAGAAGGGGTGATGGGATCGGTTACGGGGATGGAAAAGACAAAAACACAAGTCAGACCAAAACTAACACTGTTGGGAAATCAATCAATCTACTCCATTCATGAATTTTAAGTTTTGTGCTTCTGGAAGTGGGAACATTTAGACAGACAATACCTGCAAGACACCCATCATCCTCTGAAAGCAACACTTACCTGTTCAATGTGTAACTATGTGTACACCATTAGAAAATGAATTTACTTACCATGCCAATTACAAAACAGGGCTCAATAGTCTAGTATGGTAATAAAGTACTTGCACACATGCAATTAAGTTCTGCCAAAGCTACAGAACTGAATTAAGTGATGAAAAAAGGTTAGTGGTTTGCTGAATAATTTGGACAATATTAAGTAAAATTTTTAAAGAGAAAAACAAATTCTATGAGGCAAATGACCCTAAAATGAAACCTAGCAGATGATCCTTGTGTGTCAGACAGATTTAGCGCTCTACAGGAGTTGCGGATTCATAAATGAGATCAGTTTCTTTTAGGGTAAAGAGAATCTGTTCAAAACAAATCAGAGGTCTGTTTCTCATTACAGTTGACAAAGGGCTCAGAAAACACTGCTGATTAGAGGAAAAACAGGTCTTGTTTTGGAAGCAAAATGATGAAGGCTGGTGGAAGAGAAAATGGGAAAAGGGGAGGTGGGGGGGCAGGTTGAGGTACAGTACTTACCCTGTCTCAGAGATTTAGTGATGGCTTACAAAGTAACCTCTCTGTCCCCCTACCCATCACCAGTCCTGGGAGGTCTGCAGGGGTAGGAGGAGAGCGGACAGGACAAAAAGCAGTCCCTTCTCCCACCTCGCCACTCCTCCACAACACTCCCAAAGCTGGAAACTGTCTGGGCCAGAGCTCCAGATGGACTGCTGGGATGCGGCCCTACTCTAGTCCTATTTTTTGCCTCTTTCTGACATCCAGCCTTTTTTTTTTTTTTTTTTCTTCCTGGAGATGTTACTGCTGGGTTTATCTAGCACTGGGTGGCGAGGAGAGGCCTTTACTGGATTCTTTCATGGAAACTTCAAGGATCTTAAGTCCTTGTGAGAACCTACTCTGCTATTTCTTACATTAGTGGGTGGCCGTGACAAGTAAGTTCTTATCATGATGTAGAGCGGGGCTTTGATTGGTGTGGCTTGTTCCAAATGCCCCCCAGGGTCACTTCCAACGGCAGTGATGTCAACGAGCCCAGCTTTTCAAGTTTAGTAACAAGAAACAGACACTAAGGAGAAGATATGTGGATGTTTTCTGTACGAGGGGTCTGAGAGTGGGCTCTGGCAGTCTGTGCTAGTCCTTATGGAGACATTTAGCACTTCATCAAGAGCTGGTGAGTTATTAACAGACTGAACTGGTGGTCAGGTATAATGTGTACAAAGAAAAAAATGGCTGAAGTGTTAAAAACAAAACAGGAGTTGAAAGCAGGACACAGTAGATTTGGGGACAGGGGGCAAAGGGACAAAAAGGACAGAGGTCAGAAATGGTTTGAAGAAAAGATGGGAGGTTAAAGGAAGGCGGGTGGGGTGGTGGACAGGAGGTATAGAAAAGAGAGGAATGAGAGAAAGAAGCAGACATTTGAGAAGTGGTGGAAAAAGAGAGACGTGTGAGGGAGGGAGGCAGAGAAATTGAATGAAAGAAAGGACAGACAGGGAGGGAAATCGATTATAGAGAGGTGGCTCCTCCAGGCCAGGACTCCTGCCAGCCAGGACCAGACATGACGTCCGCAGAGGGAGAGGCCGGCCGGCACAGCCAGTGGTGGGGGGTGTCAGGGGCTGGCATCAGGGGGCAGTTCAGAGGGGAGCCTCCAGCATAGCCGTCCATGCCCGGCTTTGGCTGCTTTCCACCCTCACTTCCCGGCAGTTGTCTCTTTCTCTGTCTTCTTGTAACGCACCACTGTATCTCAGTGGTATGTATCATCTATCAGCGTGTATTATCTGCAGGACCAATTTGGGTTCAAATTTTGCCGTACGAAGTTTGTTACTGGGAATGGAAATGTATCTCCACAGGGACTGTGCAGGAACGTTTTCTTAATCCATATCCCATCAGATTAATACACGGATCGAGAAAACTTTGTTAAAAAGTCTCTGAGTCAATTTAATCAGGAACAAATGGTGTGGTGCGTCACTGTGATGATGGCATGGCCGAGGGGAGCCCACCCTCCTCCATACCCCCCTCTTCGCCCTCTCGCCTGACAGCTGCCCCCGACCCTACGATCAAATTTGGAAGCCCAGCAGCACCCCGCGCTCGCCCCCTCCCCCCCTCTGTTGCCCAGGCAGCCAGTGTCCTGGAAGGGGGGAGAGTTTTGTTTGTGGGCTCTGTTCTAGGGATTCAGTGGAGATGGCTGTGTGGGACTGATTAATCAGGCCGTCTCTCTCCCCAAGTCAGCTTTCGATTTGTCATGCCTAGGTCCGGCTGCAGGCTCCCGAGGGCCTGTGTGCTTCTAGTTGCCCGAGGAGAGACTTGGAAACAACAAACAAAAACAAAATGAAAAGAAAACAAATGAACATAGAATTAGGTTAAAAGGTTGATTGCCATCCTGTAAGGGGCTGCTTCACTAGCCTCGCCCCTTACATCTTCACACTTTATTAACATCTTATTCAATAGAGCAAAGTGGCTTAAATCCTCACAGGAAACCCTGCTTCCAATATGATACACTTCTTAGATACACATCTGAGAAGCATCATATGCTCTTTGACAGAAAGCAAATCTCTATGTGTGCGCGGTTCACTTTTAATCATAAATCTACGGTAAATAAACATGCAGTGAAGAGTCTGATCATTATATAATGACCATTGTTGTTGTTATTACTACATTGCGATTATACTACATTTTAAAAACAGTTAAATATTGTGTGTGTGTTTGTGTGTGTGTGGTTATACTGAGGAAATGATTTGCGTTGCACCCAGGACATACCCAGACCACGCGAGGCCACATCAGTAGCGATGAGGATGGGAGCTTTGCCGCTACGAAATTCTGCAGCACGAGACAAAGAACGGGCGATAAGGAGCCAAACATTATTCTCAAAGAGACAGCATCGGAGAAAAGAAAAACGGTCTGTCGTACCCGATAACACCCAGTCTCTCTCTGGCTGGCTCTTGTCACCATGAATACACATCGCTGGCCACCTACAAGACAGACAAGCAACCTGTCATAATGAGCCATTCGTAATTCCAGAAAGGAAATGCAAACCCAATCCAAATCAGTGTTGGGTCAAAAGTCTTTTTTTGAGCGTGTACAGTGTCTTTATTCACACCAGCTACATGTACTCACCCATCACGTCTCATCCTGCGTGTGAGATCGTCACATCGTTTCTTGGTCTCCACGAAGATGATGGTCTTGTTCTCCTTCTCAGCCATAATCTCCTCCATCAGCTGGATCAACCTGAGAACAGCAAACAAAAAAATAATCAACACATACATAATATTTACAGGTTTTCCATGTATACAATGCTCACGTATCTCTTCAAAAAATAGAGGAAACAATCCTTTAATTAAGGCTTGAAAGGGGCAGGCAAGAGATTCAACACACAGGAAAGGAGTAAGAAGCAAGAATAAAGTAATATCACAAAGGAAGAAGACCCTGAAGAATACAAACCAAACTAGCTGTAATAAACAAAAGCAGGGAAAAACAGATGCAACAAGCCTCTTACTTGTGGTCCTTCTCGCTCTCCATACAGACATCGACTATCTGAAGGATGTTGTGGTTGGCGCTGAGTTCCAGCGCTCCAACATTGATTTGGACATAGTCTTTCAGAAAGTCCTCCGCCAGCTGGCGAACCTCTTTAGGCCAGGTAGCACTCCACATCAGGGTCTGTCTGTCGGGCTGGCAAAGACAGGAGCACACCAAATAAACAAAAACAGGTAACAACAACAACAATATGCACATGCTATAAAAGTAGGAAATTCTCCGGCTGCTAAAAGACAAACAATAACTAAACTAATAACTGATAAATAATATAAGTGTACAAGTGTATTAGCTTTACCCTGATCTGGTCCACAATCTTGCGAATCTGTGGTTCAAACCCCATGTCCAGCATGCGGTCAGCTTCATCCAGAACTAAATACGTGCAGCGTTTCAGGTTGGTCTTTCCAGCCTCAAGGAAGTCAATCAGACGACCTGGAGTGGCGATGCAGATCTCAACACCTAGGACAAACAAACCTATGTTTCAGTGTCTTATATAACTGATTACACTCAAAAAAACATCAATTACAGACTAACTCAATGTGGATTTCAATGGATAACCATTGTTTAGCTAAAAATAAAAATAACTAGTTCGTAATGTGACCCAAAATAGTGTCAATCCCTCACCTCTCTCCAGGTCTCGGATTTGAGGTCCCTTGGGAGAACCCCCATACACACAGGTGCTTTTGATGCGGGACGACTTTCCGTAGTCGTATGCCACCTGCTGGACCTGCTGCGCCAGTTCTCTCGTGGGGGCCAGAACCAAGCACTGCAGAGCACACAACACCATAACAATCCACTGATTAGTGCATTGGACACTTTGAGATTGTGTTAAGAAGGCTTTTAATATCATTACTGTACACGTATCTCAAAGCAGACTACTCAGACATTAGTGTATTCCTTTTCTCTTCACGTACAATGGGTCCATCTCCACGCTCCAGGTAGGGCTGATGATTGATGTGCACAATGGCAGGCAGCAGATACTTCACAAAGAAGAAAGGGGGAGAGGTCAGTGAGTTATGCCGCTGTGTGATTCACCAGCTCGTTACTTATTTATCTTTGCAAATACAGGGGTAAAGGGAGGTACGCGTCTCACCGATAACGTCTTCCCAGAGCCAGTCTGAGCAATGCCCACCATGTCTCTACCGCTGAGGGCCAGAGGGAAACCTTGAGCCTGAATGGCTGTGGGCTCCTTGAAATTCTGCTGCATCAGTACATCCATTACATACTCTAGATGGAGAGGCAGAAAACAAATATTCCAGTTAACTCTCTAACAGCAGACTTAGTTGGAGTCGATGTGTAATCCACGGGGTTGCTTACGGGGAAACTGTGCCTGATGGAAGTTGGTGATGGGCTTTGGGCAGCCGGAGCCTCGAACAGTGATTTCTTTCTTCCTGCGATACTCCTCTTCATCATACTGAAAGCACAACACATGAAGCCAGTGTGTGAATCCAACACAGAAAACACCAGAGCCTCTCTTTTCATGACCCCAAACAAAGGGGATGGTTAGATAGGCATCACACGACCACACTGTGACATTTGAGCTGTACCTGGCTCATCCGCTGCACTTCTGAATGTTCACTGTAAAAGTTCTTCTCAAATTTGGGAAGCTCGTCCAGGTCCCATCTCTTCTTTCGTAAACGTTCCCCGGGGTTCCCAAACTTCCTCCCCGGCGGTGGGCCGCCTCTGCTGGACCCGAAACGAGGGCTCCTGCGACATGAGCAGACACACACCGTGTAGCTAGGTATGCGACAGCGGTCTGGGCCGCAATAATAACACCATATGTCAGCACTGTCAAGCACAATTTTAGCACGAAAGCCCGTTTACAATGACAACTATACTGACGCTTTGGGCTAGCCTTAGCTCGCATGCTAACTGGTTGTTTTGACTTTTCGCTGCTTACCCTCTGTCACGGCCGCGGTCTCGGTCCCTGTCTCCGTACGAACCTCTCATTTTGGGCACACTGGCTCGTCTTTTGGGGGGTGAAGCAGTTCCTTTATGTAGCCTTTAGCTCCGCGGGGCCTGGTTACCTGCCTTTCACTTGTCGTTACCGTCTCAGGCCTAGCTCCAGAGCCACCGACGCTCTCCCTCTGTCTCAGCCAAATGCTAACGTTAATGTTAGCTTGTAACGCCGACTGGGTGGAGAAACTGTCTCTTTCTTACTATAAGCTTGTTGAAAAGTCAAATATGACACCACGCCATGGTTTTGGTGAGACGAATTTAAACTGAAGTCCAACGGACACAATAATAAGTCGCAGCAAGCTCTTGTTGTAGCTCTGCTGTGTTGTTGTTAGCGCTCAGTTACTGTGATTGGCTGGCTGCTTGGGAAGCCCCGCCCCCCCACATGATTGACATCCTCATGGCCTGAAACGCATTCCTGCGACAGTATGTGAATATTGTGAAAATACTCCATTACAAGTAACTGTCTAGTTATTCAATTGTCAAATAATCATACATATGTAAAGATTTGCATATAAGCAGCATCGTTTTGTAGCTGGTGGAGGTAGAGCTAATCTTTAATATTTCATATAGTGTTCGCTAGTTTAATTTTAAGTTTAATGGGCATCATGTCTTCATGTGAATTCAAGTAATTGAGTAGTATATTACATATAATGGTGAAGATGGTAATGGTGTCTACAAGCTTGGCATAACACAATGTGAACATGTGACATAATTTATCTTGGCCAAAATATTATCACAATAATTATGAAAATATAATTAAAACTTTTAAAATGGCACTTAAAAATACTTTACCTTAAATATTGTTAATACACATTTATTGCATTGATAGGGACCTCATCTCCTTGACCTTAATTTTGAAAACTCTGCTATTTCACACATCCAGTTAAAACTTTTTTGTGGGAGATACATCGGGCAAAGCTTTTTGAGAGTCTTCAGTCATGGTGACAGGGTTGGGATTTTGGTATGACAGGACAGATGTGAGCTCCCTCTTGTCCCGTTGTTAAAAATAATTCAGAAAATCAATATAGGACTGTCTGCTGGAGAGCAAGACTGCTTTTTGAAGTCAAACAATAATATTGTATATCATCACATCCATACCACAAGCTGACTTGAACAAACACCTGGCAGAAATGTCGTTTGCATCTGTCTTTTATTTCCTTTTCACCACCAATAGAAACCAACATAGCATAAAAACATGAGATAATATTACCAATATACAAATTAAAGTATACAACAGAAATAAAACCAGAGAATATATGAAAATTAAAATATTAAACTAAAGCACTATACCAAGCAATACCAAGTCATCATCATAAATGTTTCGCAGTGCTTAGTTTAACTCTATATACAATGTTCTTGCCTTTCTGGTACAATATTTCCTTGTTTAATATATTCAGCTTTGTGATTAACATCCAGATTTTAAATCACATAGTATCAAAACAAATAATCAGACACTATTTTGAATCAAAAAAGAGTCTGATATGCTGTTACACTGGGGCAAAGTATAAGGCAGTGAATTTCACTTTTTCAATACCATTAAGTCAATGTTACATTAATAGAACAAATTCACTCGACCTTGCCTTCAACTGAAGCTCTACAGGTTCGGTGGAAAGATGGATACACAAGTCATATTAACTGTTAATTATTTTGTGTAGGAGATGGTTGGTAGTGATATGAATCAGAATCAGAATCAGAAATACTTTAATAATCCCCGTGGGGAAATTACTTAAATTATATATATTTATATGTGTTAGCAGTCACAGCTGAAAACCAACAGTTTAACAAACACTTCAATTATTCTGCTAACTGAATACAGATTTCTCATCAGGAAGTCGATTGTACTCTTCTGAGGATGCACATCAATTTGGCTGTTTTCTTCATCCTGACTACATTCATTACTCACAAGGACTGTATTGTTTGTTAACCTGCAGTCAATGGGCTTGAGTCAATGTGTAAAATCAGTTTGGACTCTGCACTCGACATGACAAGAGGAAAAAAAAACGATGAATTGCACATTTATAGGCAGCAGCGTCGCCTATGGAAAGGATCCACTCAGGTTGTATACCTGATGTCGTGCTCCTCCATCAAATATTTAGAATCACACACAAGTGACTTCTATACTGGCCTCTGCTAAAACGCATATTAAACAGTAGTTGGTCGCGTGTGAACAATAAACTCAAACTATTATACTATTATCTTTTTCCAAAAGATAATAAGACCTAGAGGAGGACAGGCAGGTCTAAAGGTTTTGACTCACTTTAGTTTTTTTTCTACCATGCATCACTGTCTTCTAGCATAGTGTGCCCCGTACATGTATTAATCATAAGTACATGTATATTTTCTAACACTACCTGAATATTCTATTATCTCGCAACTTTTAATGCCCATATATTTTTTTTCTGGATGTGAGTCCAGTTGGATTAAAAGCCTTGTTTGCACTGACAGATCTCTGCATGGCCTTATCTGTCTGTAATGATCAATGTCCTCACTCTCACTGCTACTATAGCAGTGAGGCCATTATAAACGATACCAGCAGAGGCAGGCCTGATCTGTGCTACATGTAATGCCCTTAATTATGGGATTACAATCCATAGCACATCACAGCTGGGCCGGCACTGCAGGGAAGTGTTGCTTCTTCAGTAATCTGTAATCTGTGTGGGTGTTGTCCTTCCGTCGGTCTCTCTGCCCCACACTGAAATCTCTCCTGCAGCTGTTCCCTCTGTGCGAGGAGCCCAAGTCAGGCCAACAGCTGGAGTTGTACAATTAATCTTTTGAGTCACTTGTTCATATGAACCCACAACAAAATGCAAACAAACACAGAATATTCAGCATATTAATTCAACATTTCTGGAATGACAAATTTCCAACAAACTAGTCTTTCAATGAGTTACACCTTCAAGGTCATAAAAGATTTAAATAAAAAAATATTTGTGATTCAATTCTTATATATTAAAGCCCTGGAATTCGAAGGCTCCTTAGTTTAGTTTGACTATAAATCATTTCTACGTCTTGAGACAGTGTCTCATTAGCTGGAGCACAGGGTACTGCTCCCTCTATTTGGCAATGTTTCGGTACTAGGCAGAGTTGGCAGAGGGGTGAGGGGGAGTGTGGATCGAGAATCTGTACAAAAAAAACGAAAAGATGAAAGAGGCCATGTGTTTTAGATGAAGATGGCACTTACTTGCTCTAGCACAAACCTGATATCTGTCATCGTTTTCGATGTGGTGCAGCATAAGGACGCTATATGCAGGCACAGGTGTCTGAACCAATCCATATTAAATGGATGTAGATATGGTATTTCTGTCAGTATTGGCCTTTATTACATCAACACAAATGACAACTAAATAAACCTAAAAATCTCAATTTCTCCTCTCCCCAACTATATTTGTGATAACTTTTCTACCCTCTTCATGCTCCCTCTTCTCCTACGGTACCATTATTCCGCCTCTTCTTCCTTATAATACACTCAAGCCCTTCCGACAGTCTGTTTCGTATGTCTGACATGAATCTTATGTTTTCACTGTTGTCTAAATGTGGAAAAAAAAGAAGGAAAGAAAACAGAATCTGATCTTCCTTGTTAAGGTAGCAACAATGGATCTGATCTGTCTCACATAGCTGATAAAAAAAAATCAATATGGGCTACAAGAGTAAAGTGAGCCTCTGAGTGAGCGTTTGAGTCTCAGAACTCGTCGTCGGAGCTGAGGAGCAGGGTCTTTTCGTTGTCCCCGCGGGTGCTGAGGTTACTGTGGCTGCGTGAGAGGGGTGGCCCCCCACCTCTCTCAAGTGTGGACTGCTGGGTGTACTGCTGATAAGCTGGGGAGAAGTTATGGATGGCGTCCTGGACCATGTCCCCTGGATTCATGGTCTCCTTGAGGCTGCTGGAGATGCTCTTCATTGGGGCACAGCGACCTGGAGGTGGGAAGGTTAGAAAATGAATAAAGAGAGACAGAGCAGGATGGATAGGGAGGGCAATATGAAAGTAACAGATGAGTGAGAAAAAGCACAGAAACTATGTTTCCATCCAGCTGTTTAGATTAACTGAGGCAACCGTTAGGGGTTTTTCAATGGCTGATGCTGATATTAGAGAGCAGGGCGACCAATGGCCAATATATAATGCTGATATCAAAACCAAGAAATTATCATACACATTATAATCTAATCTACATGGCTATTTTAGCCAGTTAGCCAGACATGTTGTTTTAGATTAGAATTGTATTAATTAATGAAACAGAAAAATACATTGGTGTACTCCTATAACATAATATATACGCTAGCCAGTAATGGTTGCATGAGAGGTATAGTACAGGGAAATCAACTTTTTCACCACCTTCCCAAAACTCACAGCCAAACTTCCCAAAACTATACAGGCAGCCACACTGACATGGCTGCCTGAAGATGTGACTGCAAACATATTTTGTTTATCAGCCTTGTGAGCGCAGGCATTTGCTAATGCTGTTTATCTCAAAATGCCACGTCTATCAATTGTCAAGCTGGATGGAAACAGTTTAATTCCAGTTAAAATTCCACATAAAATACAAATTTAGCTAAATTTAAGAAGCAGGATGGAATAAAAAAAATCTGCTTTTCTGCTGAGAGAGCAGAAGGGGGACACTGGGTGGGCCAGGGTAGGAACAAAATGGGGCCAGGAGAAATGAAAATGTTCACTGACTGCAAAATATACTTAAGGACACAAAACAAGACAGCCGTAACCCCCATGACTTTAAATATATAAACTGAATTCATGCTGAACTGCAAACAATGTTAAAGTAATGAACATTTAACTACAATCAAACACAAAAAGGGTAACAAAAAGAACTGTAATGGGGGCAAACATAGAGAACTGATACAGATACAGACAAAATACAGCTAACATCAGACCTACCGTACTGTCCATAGATAGGAAATGAGCCTGTCAGTGCAGCACAGTGAAGAAGAGAGAAAAAAGGAGAGACAAAGAAAGACAAGGAACACAAGATGAAAATGAAGGAACAGAAGAACAAAGCAGAAGAAAAGAGAAAGACTCAAAATAGAGAGTGTCAAAGATAGGAATCAGTAAAGTAAAAAGGCTGGGACACAAAGAGCGAGGTCAGATCAGCTCTGTAAGGTTGAGGGAATCAGTATCGAGACCCATTTCACAATGTTCACAGCAGACAGAATATGGTACACCATTACATACAGGCTCTCTTTCTCATTATAAAACACATTTTGCTTAACCGTTGTGATCCCAAACCCATCAGAACTACACCAGCCTCTTAAGACCTGCAAACACACACACACTTCCCTTACCATATGAGTCCAGTCTCTTATCCATGTAGACCTTATAAGTAAAGGCATGGCGCAAAGCAACAGCAGCAAAGAACATCTCAATGCAGATGATGAAGTTTTGGTAACCAGCGGCAACCGTTCCCTCGCCCACAGAGAAGTCGGCCGAGCTGATCTGAGGGATGGCTCCGCACTTCTCCAGAATGGCCAGCAGCATCCCTGAAGTGCACAAACACGGGCGGGGGGAGAGAACAGAAATCACAAACGGAGAACAGACACAAAGAGAGTTTTCAACGGCACACATTTGAATCTGTGCATGAGAGAACCTGAGTGGAGACAGAAATTGAACATCTGTTCAAAAACTGAAAAGGTCCCTGGTGAGGTAATGACACCAGAGTTGATGATTGTTGGAACACTGGAATGACTAACCAAGACGGTTTCATTGAGTTTTATTTTGTTTCTGTGAGTTTTAATGAAGTGTATTTCAAAATGAGTTAACAAGGCAACTGAACAGCTCTTAGTTTGATAAAAGAGAATAATTCAGAAGGTGTACGTTTTCAGAAAACAGATGTTTCATATATTTTCTTTCTTGACATCTTGAGTTTATTTTGTTTATTAAAGCTAAGAGAGCTTGTTGCACGTAGCAAACTCGCTGCTCGTCTCCCAGCTGTGAAACTACTTGGGGCGGTGACTGAAGGGGGAAATGTCCAGTTGGACATTTTTAACATACCTTTTCATCTGATTTAATTTCTGGCAGTGCAATGCAGTATCATAGATTTCACATGACTGCACCGCAAAACCCATAAATGGCAGCAGCAAAAACACCATCCAGAGGTTTTTCTTGAATGAAAATAGCTGTCTTTTAATTATAGTATGCAATCTTAGTGCGCACACTAGAATATTTGCACAGAAGGGAACAATTACAGGTTTCCATTTTTTTTGCCAATCTTTTGGAAATTCATTTAAAATGTGCCCAATATTTGGATACAGATACATACCTACAGACTGCTGAACAAAATCATGTCAGAAAAAGTGGGTATGTGTGCTGATGTGTGCTAACAAGCACAGATCGTGTTCTTCTTACCTTGCCAGAAGGAGAGAAAGATGACTGACTTGACCATGAAGAACTTAAGCACAGGGTTGTACGGGACAAGCAGTTCACGCGTGGCAAAGTAGAAGAGGAAGAGGGCGTAGAGTGACAGACTGACTGAGATGTTGTAGATAATGGTCACGTACAGGTAACCACTAGCCACACTGAAGGAGAGAGACACAAAAGAATGTGCTTTAGCTATGACACACATGACAAACGTCTAAGTGATTAAACAAAGGAAGTGAAACCATTTAAAATAGTGTCCTAGTTCTGGGAAAGCTGCGGCTCGGTTGATGAGTGTATTTCTACATAAATATGCAGCTCCGGGTCATCAAGTTCATTAAAATATGGACTGTAGAGCAGCACTTATACAGGCCCTCATTAGAGATCTTATAGTAATGACCTAACAACTGCACAGTAGAGATAACTAGAGACTTTCTAGAGCGTTTCTATCTTTTGATTACTCATTACAGATATGAATTGTCTGAATTCAGAGGGTGTGTTAAACTCTGCTCAGCCATTAATGGTCTAAAGTCTGTCAGTGTCTGCAGTAGTGTGACACAACATGGAGCATGGAGATGTCCATGTTGTGAATGACGGTGGGAACATTGTTCAGGAAACATACTTAAAGTCTCCATCTTTGTATTTCCCAAAGGCCTGAAGAAGGACAGTGATCACTGCCATCAGGGGTTTCACCACACAGAACTGGAGAGTTGCCTGAGGAAGCAAGAGTGTGTGAGAGGGGGGGAATTAAACATGGTAGGTATGAGGTAAAAAAGAGAAGATCAGAGAATAACAGGTCAATAAAAAGCAGTAAAAGCAGAAAGGCCATACCAGTTTGTTTAACTTTCTAAACTACAGTAATTTAATCTTAAATTATCTGCATGTAGATTTTTATACCGTATGGACATTTTTATGGATATGCAAGTCATATTGAATCTATAGTTAACATAATAAAACATTAGGGATGCATGATATGGAATTTTTTTTCAGCTGATATAATGAGCATAATAAGGTAACTGATAATTTATCAATTTTGTATTTTAAAGAGAAGTTCACAATCTTAAGTTTATGTGAGTTCATGTGATGGCAAGAAACACAGTTGGCACCAAGAACAGTTTTGACTCTTCAAATGTTCTAGTAAAATCCATCAAAAAACTTCCACAAAGAATTCAAAATAATATATCATTATTATCAACCGATTATTTATTGGCTAGAATTTAATTATTGGAATAATACATAACAATATAAATATCACATTATCAGCCGATGATCTACCTGCCCTGATAATTATTGTGCACGCCTATGAAAGTAGTTCATATATCTGTAAAGCACAACACATAAACATAGATATAACACCCTTCGATTGGTACCTGTTTGCAAAACCTGAGGAAACCAATGGAGTACGTCTTGCCCCACAGACAGCAGGTTCCATACATACAGCTTGACCTAAAGTGGAGTGCAGGTTCATACAGGTCCAAATCGTTATCATGACATTTCTCAAGCAATTGTTTAGACCAAAAAGAAAGAAATGAAATTAAAAAAAGAGGGAAGATGAGAGCTAAAGACTTACTCAATGGGTTTCCCTCTGATCTCAGCCATGATGGCGCTCTCTCCTCCCAGATATTCATAACACAGACTCAGGAAGTTGTAGATGACAAAGGCTGCAGTGTCACACGTGGGAAAAAAAGGTTATGTTTTTTAGCCATAAAGTAAGTGTAAGTGTTTCAAGCATTAGATTAGAAGCAAATTTGTGCAGAAAATCCAGATTCAGGGTTACACATCATGTCAGAGTCAACCAAGGGTTCATCCCTCTCTAGCAGGAGAAAGTCTGAAGCTAATTTTGACTTCAGAATGGCTCACAAGTAAATAAGAAACCTACATTTATACTAAGGTTCTTACAAAAATAGCATGTCGATGTTGCTGATGTGGGGTTGGTTATTTCTAACAGCCTCCAAAAACACACTGATGCATGATCACTGAAGCCGATGTTGTCGACAACCCATGGTGTAACGGTCGTAATTACAGTTATGCTTTTCTGATTTTGTTTTAGAACTGCTGAGCTTGCCATTTCAAGGAAGAGAGGTGAGTCATCCCCATCAGCAGGCTTAGAGATGATTGGGTAATGTTGTGGGTGAGGTATAAGCCTAAGCATAATTGTATGGTACAGTATCTCTAGCACTGGGGGCAGAAGTGGATAATGGTAAAGATAATGGGACACCTGTGGAAACATTGTTGCAGAAAGCAAACGCTGAAGAAAGCTCATGGTCGTGTCACGCTGCCACACAACGCTGTCACGTAACACAAACGGTTCAGAGAAACAATACAGATCTTACACAACAGAACGACGCACATTTAGGCCTGTGATAATCACTCATGTAATGCGTTACGTAACTAACACAAAAAGTCACATGTTACAATACGATTCTGATCTGTATTAGCAGTATTCTTCCACAGCATCGTGGACCTAAACGTGAAGCTACACCAGGTGTGCCTCTAATCCCTTTCTATTCTACCCACTGGTCGGATCTCATAAGTAATCGACTTAATCAAAGCAACAGGCTGCACTGGTTGCATTTACAGATTTTTGGGTGTGTTTTATTTAAGCAAGGCTTCGGATGAACATCCCATCCAAGGTATGGTTACAGTTACGCAACAGAAAACAAGCTACGCGGCTAAACAGCAAAGTCTGAGCTGTCTGACAGGAATAAAAAAATCTACAGATTCATGTCTGGAGACCACTGCTCTAGTGGCACGTCTTTCATAGATGGAAAGACATATGTGCTCTCATCTTTCTATCCCTCTTATTTACACTTATTAGTCACAAAAAAGCACACATGGCAGTTATATGATGTTCTGTGCACTGGACTGGTCAATCATGTACTGGCTATTTATTTATTTTGCTGAGTAACATATAATTCAAGTAAACCTGACTGGGCTGCATACTGATCCCAGCAATTGGCGTCCCTGAGTGAGCACAGTGTGTTTCGTCTGCTGCCCCAGGTGTTCTCAGGCTAATTTAAGGGTAACCCACGGATACCAGCTCCCTACTGCCGCTGCTCTCTTTACTGTTTCAAGTGGCTGAGTTTAAAAGCACGCCTGTGATTGCAGCACACCGCCAGAACAAAGTCAGCACAGGGTTGGCTTTGTGGGATAACTACGCATTCAGTATTATTTTCACTTGCACTGCTTTTAGCTTGAAAGGGACTCGCAGTATGAAATACTTTTAACACGCAGTTTGAAAGAATAAATATTCAAGAGTGTCAATAATAAGAGCAACTCCACAGAAATGGCTTATTGCAAGGACAAAGCGGACTATTCAATACTGTCTTATTAAAACTCGGTCATATAATAGCAGTAACAGTATACTTTCATACACTATTCTACCATTTAGTCATTCTGTAATATGTACTGAATTGTGATATGCACTCCAAAAGAGACATAAAAATACATATTTAACAGCAGTAGCATAACAGGCAGATACAGTAATGGGCCCCACATGTGCACAAGGTACACAACATTGGTATAAATGGATAGAAAGAGAATTTAGAAAGAACTAAAGGTACATTTTGGGGATGTTTATGCACTTTGTTGGAAGAGGAACAAATACTCTACTACCGGCAGCTGAGTGAGCTTGTGTCTGTGTGTGTAAGAGAGAGAGAGAAGCAAACACTGGCAGCATGAAAACAATTTAAAATGCTTCTTTCTCTAAATACTGTGCACTTACTGCACTATGTGTATATTCTCAGGGTTCACACTCTTTGTAAGAAATCATTTTCCAGGACCTTTAAGTTCTGGAAAAACTGTACTTGATGCTGGAAAGTCAGTTCAACTTTGCATCTGGAGAACCCGTTTGAAGACTTAATACTCACCCAGGTTTCAGTAGGTGAGTGAGGGGCTACAGATAACAGAGATTATTTCCAGGATATTTTATCATTTTAATCAATGTCCATGTGTTATCATGACTGGAAATGTAGTCTCTAAATTTCCAGCCTTTTCAGGTTTCCCAGGATGCATGGGAACCCTGTATTTTACCTGCAGTGGACGGCACTAACTGTGTCTATAATAAACCCTATGTCTGTCTCTACATTAAACAATACATTGCCCTAACAGGTGCTGCCCTACCATGGCGTCTCTCAGACACTGTCACAACTGCTACACTACGAGTACAGCAGACTGAGCAAACACTGCTCACAGCTGCCTTTCATGACAGGATATTGTCAGTGTGTACAGGGGCACAACGAACCATTGTTTTAAGGAACAATTAAACTGTCGGCTCTGTTTCTGATGAATCAGTTCGAATCAGTTCACTGTTTAGTGTACAATGCCAGAAAATGATGTGATGAATCCAATGAGATTTCTTTGAATTGATTATCCAACCAACAGTTCAAACCCCAAAGGTTTTCAGTTTGCAATGATATGAACAGAGAATAGCAGCAAATCCTCAGTCTGAGTCGCTTGAACCAGCTGATATTTGGCATCTTTGCCTTCCTGTAGCTAAACTAACAGCACTAAAATCATGTTCAGGCAATTACCCTTATAAAGCACATGTGATGATGGAATAATAAGAGCAAACATAACCATTGCATGTTATGGAATCGCTTGGAATCTGCCTCAATACTCAGATGCAATAGCTGCATTACAGGCTTGTAAGCTGTAAAGAATAAGCTTACGATTTATCGGCTCACAAGTGAGAAGCCTTTTAAAAGTCTTTGCAAAGGATTTGCTCGTTTTCATACAGTTGCTAGGAAACAGGATCCCCCTCCCCTGCAATCCCAAGAGGCCATGGAGACACAAGAACAAAGATGGCAACCTTTGTAAATGAAGACACTGCAAAGGCCATCTGCCACTGAGGTATCACAACACATAAATTCTCACACCCTTATTTCTACTGGGAGTCAAAAGACACATTAGATCACAAAACACCAACTCCCACCACTGTGGTGAATACTGGTCTGTTGTTTGCATGCCACTTATGGCAGCGTGTAATGCAGCCTGCAGCAGAACACGCTAGTGGAGCGGTTCATTGCGCTGCGTTCCTCTATTCACTCACCTTCGTAGCAGTCTCGGACCGTGTCAAAGTACACATAGTACTCCTCATTGGTGAAGAAAAGAAGGCTCAGCCAGGAGTCGAAGGCATAGATGGGGACTATGAAGAGGATCCTTACTATGTGCCTCTGCTCGTTTGGAGAGCTGTAGTAACGTAGGTGCATGTATATCTACAAAGAAGAGAGAAAGAACAGAGGTGAAAAGAGTATTCACCAAAATAGATCAAGTCCAAATATCAATTCTACGGCAGAAGTTTATATTATTCCTCTGATCTTTTATGATTCTGGCACGAATTCGGTGCACAAATGAGTCCCAGAAACATGAACCTGACATCAGACATCACACACTGTCTCAGTTGTGGATAATTGTGTCCACATGTGTGGTGACTGAATGCTCTTTCAGCACAACAAAAACAGGCTTTAACTTTTAACATCAGCCTTCTGTAAGTTAGCTATGGGAGCAGCGGGAACATCTTTTCTTGATCATATTGAATCATCATTTGTACTCTTTGCAACAGAGCTGCTCACGCTAGAAATACTGCATAAGCTACAAGAAATTAAATAATCAAAGGAGGGAGAGAAAGACAAGAAAATACACTGGAACACAGGCATAGGTGCAAAGGAATGAGAACTAAAATTAATTTATTGATACCAATACAAGTCTACCAATCGAAAAAACAATAGGCCTACACAGATTTTCAGCGTCAACACAACTGTTTTATTATCTCAGAGTCTGAACACAGTGAAGTAACAGAGAAGTAAGAATTCATGTGACTCCACTGTTCAACTGCTGTTTTATTTGGAACCGGTTCTCAACTGGAACTGGTTCTCGAGTCCCAACAGTGACACCCATACACCCTTTTCTCGCTCATTTTTCCTCCCTGTGCAGCGAGCGTGAAAGGGTCTTGCTGGCTGGGAACTAATGGCCGAGTCAAACTGGCTGTAGCATCATTATTTCAAAATAATTAAATGAGAGAATATTTGAACATTTGTTTCCATTTAGGTTTTCTTAGTCAAAGAAGAAAAATCTGATCCATAAAATAGGATATTTAAGATTTGCTGCTCGGCTGGGAAGCAGTGGCTTCCACCCTTACTTGAAGTTATAGTTTTACAGACATTACAACTAGCACTGTTGTCAATATTTCTTTGTGAAGCCACGCTTTGGACCGCTTCTCCCTCTCCGCCATGACTCGTTCTTATTGACGCTTGAGTTTGGAAAACATGCCAGCGTCAATAAAAGGAACTGATAAGTTCGGAGGCATATGTTTCCGGTGGATTGGACGATTTAGAACCGGTTGTTAACATTCAAAACAACCTAAAAATGCTTGTGTCAGTTGATGAACAGCAGATTGGCAGGATGCAGAACACATACAATTATAATCTAAAATGTGCAAAATATCCCAAGAATTAGGTCTTGTGTATACAGAACTGTTATACCGTGGATTTTAATGTTTGAAACAGCCACACATCTCGGTCACATTATAATAATGAGGTAGGAAAAGAAACTGCGAGGGGAATATTCATCAGCTTCCTCCTTGTGAAACCACAGCCCAGAATGTGGTGGATAAATGGGTTAGCTGCATAATTTCTGCCTCATGCAACTTGCATGTGTGTTCTCATCAGACTCTAGTCTGTCTGCACAGGCCAGAATACAGCCAGTATACATCTGCCTGAGCTGTATGTTGGAGTACTGTGTGTGGGAAGGGTGTGGGTTGTGTGCGTGCACTGACACAAGGGCTTGTTTTGGGTAATGGATACTGGGCTTTTATCACTCCTATTGAGAGCAGCAGACGGCAGGAAGAGCAGGGCGGGCCTTTGTCACCAGCACGTCGGTCTGCTCCATCCGGCTCCTTTCCACTTACACAATGTCCCACCTATCACCTTTCCTGGCCTGTAAACAGACACACACCTTTGGTAAAATAACAAACAGTGGGTGACAACACACCAAGCGAGACAGTGCACTCCGCTCACAGGCCTTGTTGCTAGGTGACCCCCCCCTGCACAGACTCACACCCATCCCATGCTCTTTGATGTCGTAGTGGAGCCAGGAGCACCTGTTGCCAGAGTGACAGTGGGCTCTTCTTTAACCCCGTACTTGAAGAGCAGCAGCGAACAATGGAGGACAAATCATTAACCTAAGCCTCCAGGAACAACAGATCTCACTTACATATAAGTGACGCTCACCAAAAGACTTCAGTGTAACATGAGGGCTGACAGAAACAAGGCAAACAGCACGTACGCACTATACTGCACCACTAACACCTCTCCTAAAACCCTTTTCAACACTATTCTGAACTGACAAAGCACAGGAAACTAGTTGATATCCTCTAAACCTAGATTTCTATAGGCTACAGACAAGCAGCAGTTCATGCAGCACACACCCTATGGCTAGGCTACCTGAGGTATTTGTCATGCTGGGTGTGCTTCAAGGGGCATAATCGACCTCAGTCAATCAAAATCGGCACAAGAGGCTCCCTGGAGGCCTTGGGGATGAGGAGCTGACCATGAATTGCAACATCCCCGGATACCCTTTTGGTATTTGTTTCATGTCGAAAAAGAAACCTACAACAACTAGACGCTCATCTGAAAGGGCATCCTTTATATAATTGTTTCTAACACTTAGTGTTTGCAACTATCTTAGGAGGATAGCTCAGGCTGATCTTGGGTAAGAAGTCTGACTTACTCTGGTAGCAAACATCCCTAGAACAGCAGTCAATCGCACTTTTTTATTCCTAAAAAATAGGTACATTTTATTTACTCTCGTTGCAGTCACATAACCCTAAATGTGTATTAAGCATCCACGTGTAAGTGCTCAGTTTTCAGCCAATGCTTGGCTAGTAATTTGGATACACTAAGTAAAAAATCAGTCAGTATCTGGAAGAAGCGTTCCCCCCACAGGATGTGAAACTTTCTAAGTGCACACATATGTTTGCTGTGTGACCACGCACACACAGAACCATAGATTAACAGGGGCTCATGGAAAATGAATGAATGAATGAATGTGTCTGCTGTTTGCTTTTTCTGTGCTTTTGCTCAAAAGGAGTTGTTTGTACTCAACAAACTCCAACAAATTGGAAAATAACTAGCTGTGGACACAGAAACTGAAATCATGACGTTAGTTAGGTTAGTTCGAACCCTCTGGGACACATGCCAGGCTCTCCTTACCTGGTGACACGTGATCAGAAGAGCTGTCCAAACAAAAAACCCCGATATTGTTTGGGCAGTCGAGGTCATGAGGAAGAAGGGCTCTTCTGGTGTGACCACTGGTGCTTCTGGCATCCAGGAGGAGTTGGATCCTTGTGGGGCCACAGTGGCTGGGGGCCCAGGGGCAATGCCGACAGGAGAGTCATTACCCAACCTCTCTGACAGGGTTATGTCTCGCTGCCAAAGCTGACTCATCTGTATGAACAAAGGGTGTAGATGAGACTAAATCAAGACGCTCTCTAGGTAATACAAACTAATTTAGCCAATACATTTGAAATAAGTAGCTTATGGTCGACAACAACCCCTGTGTTCCCGTTATAAAGCCTGAATGAAACACTCTGCATTGCAACCGGCGTGCGCAGACTAAGACCTAAATCTCAGGCCAACATCTGCTGATGTTAGAATGAGGAAACAGAAAAAGATACAGAGCAGAGCAAACTAGGACACTGCACGGATCTACAGCGCAAAAGAGATTGTGTGGAGAGACAGACGAGGCGAGATCAAAACAGAGGGAGTGAAAAGAGGAGGCATAAGGTAGGTGGGTGAGGAGAGGCTGATAAAGAGTGTAAAAACCACACACGCCAACACATGGAGG